GTTTGTGTGGGGCTTCATGAGTATATTGTCTGAAATCAGGAATATTTATCTTATTATTCTATTGATTGGCTTTATTGATAGTTGATAATACAAGCTATCTGTGTTAATATAATCAATAAGATACTACGATTTTACGTCATTTAGATAATTATCCTGAGTTTTATTTTTAATAATATTCAATAATTGGTTTTTCTTAGAATTTTTTTATGTTTAAGACGTAAGCAGAATTTTGGCACACACATAATTTTTATTTGCACATTATCCGTTATTTATTTTACATTGTCATATTTAAAGATAATACCCAAATCAAAAAAGGTCAGTAGTGCATACTCAGTATATTTTGTTTATTCATATTGCCATTTTTAAACATATGAAAGATGCAAAATCATTTAAGAGGCCTTAAATCCAGGCTTCCAGTTAAATCTGATTCTATCTATCTTAACCCATTGTAGACTAGCTGATTTTAATCCTCTTTATGGCAGAAAATGAGCACTTGCCCTCAACATTAGCACAAGGCAGTGTCAAGAAACTGTGTAGGGCTATGTCAACATTTGGAAAGGTATCCACCAGCTGCAAATCCCAAAGAGTTTTCAACATGGAATATAGATTCACTGTTTTCCAAAATTATGATGTGCATATGCTAATATGATCGTGAAAATATGATCAAATTGTGAACTTCACTTGATTTCCTACTGAATATACATCATATATTTCATCATGATGTTAAAAATAGTTCATTTCTTTCTATGTGATTTGTTTTCAATGGTTTGAAATTTTTAATTAAATTTAATTAATTAATATAGTGTATAGTCGTGAAAGTCAGAAGCCCCCAAGAGTGTGGGGCCCTAGGCCATGGTTTTGTGTGCTTTGTGTATTAATCCAACCCTGCTACATATCCTTGTTTTTTTTGTGTATGTTTCATTTTTTGTTGTATAATTTTTAACAAACATAATTAAAGTGTAAAAATTATAAGCTTCTCTATTTAGCTTAACAAAACTAGTGAAACAAAATGTATAAAAGTTACAATGCTTTGAATACCATGTGAAACATGACAGTAGATTGTATGCTGTTTACATTAGCACTAAGAGAGAAAGAAAGTTGGCTCATACTGTGATTTGTTGCTTTTGGTGAAAGGATTACTGCTTCAGTTGATACTGAAAGGGAAGTGACATGCGAGCTCACAAAAAAAAAAGCAAGCAAACAAGTCCAGAGTTCCTAAGTTTGTTGACAGATTTAACCTCATAATAACAAAGTTGTTCTATTTGAACAACCTTGGAACTATACATACTACAATTCTGCATTTATAATGAATATCTTCTGGAAATTTGGCAAGCATTTAGTGAACATTACAAGTCTGTTGTACATGAACAAGTTTTTTCATGCATTATGTCTGCTACAGATTTATCTGAACTTACAAAGCCTTTACTGATTCCATCCGAGTGAAAGGTGACTTTAATGGCTAAGGAAATAAATACTTCTTTTTATCTTATAGTTTTCACATTTAATTAACCTCTAGAGCTTTGTAAATAAATATCAAATTTGTTTTTTGGTAAAGCTTTATGTTTTCTCCCTTATTTTCTCTACCCTAGCACTAACTACATAAAGCTCAATGTACAGTGAAATTAAAAAGCTGACAATGTGAAATAAAATTACTACAATGTTTTTTCCGTTGCACTGATTGAAGTACTGATCAGAAAGTTCCAAACTATTTCTCTTAACAGTTGCAACTGCTAACCTTTTCCATGAGTTTTTTTTTTATTTTATTTTATTGCTATACTTTTAGTTTCCAGTTCTGTTATGCATAAATATTTGACAGATTTTAGAAACATTGTGACATGATTATAATATGCTCTGAATTTGAAACAATGATGTGTATGTAAATGTCTTTTTATAAAGATCTAGTGAACTACTGTATGCGAGTTAGTGATCAAAAACACAAGTTGTTTAGAAAGTTTTCTTTTGCAGAACTACTTTATTGCTCTCTTTTGAATGCAAAATGTGCACCATTTCATGTTTACCAAACAAATAACAGATATTTATTTCAAGTATAAGCTATTCCAAGTATAAACACTAGGCTTAAAGAAAACTAATTTAGCATCTACATGTATGATGTTCACATCAAAATGAAGTGAGGTTGAACTTGCAAAGGTAGTGTAGTATGTCTAAAGCTAGAGAATCCAATTATATATGACACATTATGCCTGTCATTTCTAATATATTCAAATGCAGTAGAGTGCAAATCAGTATTTTAATAAGTTAATCTTTCAGTATTGAAGTTTATAGTAAAATAATGAGTTTGTCTATAAGATGCACAAGATTAGTAGGTATAAAGGTTATTATTAAGTTGAATATTAGTATTCAAGTTATATTGAAGAGTGTGGACAATGACACAAGTGATAATGATTTTGAAACTTGTGAAATTTGAGTAATGTAGAAAAGATTAAACTAACCATTTTTTGAAATACTTAAGAAATATCAGATTTTCTATAGATTATAACAGTTATGCTAAGCAGCTACAGGGCAACAGTTAATTTATTTTCCTCATTCAAATTGACATTTTTGTTGAACTCTGTATCTTATGTGTAGATGGCAAAGATCTTCAATCTTCATGTATTTGTTAATTTTTGAGCAGAGTTTTAGTCAAACCTAGCCTTTGGTTACAAGTTGCCACATAAGGGTGTATAGTAAAATGATTTTATACAATAATGTACATATATGTTGTTTCCACTAAATTCATGAACTCTTAGTGGTATGATTGATTATTAAAGTAATATGAACAACCGAGCAATAAAATATTTTTGCTGATTACTTTGAAAAGTAGTTGGTATTGAATAATCTTTAATATCAACAAAAATAATAGCTTACGACAGAAAAATGGGACAAGTGAGTATAAACTATCAGTGAAAACACTATTGGCAAAATCTGCAAAGGCAGTTGACAGCAGTGATGATTTTTATGTTGCTGTAGAGAGACGTGCTGTTTTTCTGTTATTTCTTTTCTTTCTTTCTTCTTCCAAACAATTTTCAATGGACCACCATTCCTTCATTTCTTAATGGATTAACTTGAAACCTGGTAGGTTATACCTCAGTCCAATACATCCGGATGCTTTTTTCATTATATAACTTAACCACATAATATCCTTAAAATGTCTAAAGGTGAAACAACCCAAAAATATATATTTTGGGCTCCAGGATTGAAGATGAAAATTGTCACAAATATAAATTTTCACATGTCCCACACATTGACAAATAAAAATGGTAGACTTGCCCATTCTTAATAATTAAAGGGGGGTTAAGATGCTACAAAAAGCATAATTTAAGGATTGTTTGACAATTACTCTGTCATATTTTGGTTAATCTACTTGGGATTTTTGTACAGAGATACTTTTTTAAAGGTCCCAAACAGCTGTAGACACACTTCAGTTTTTCTGGTTTTTTTTCACAATTTCTTTGCTATCATAATGTATTATAATGGTATCATGGGATTGTATGGTGGAGATGTGTTGCATTCATTTGCAAACATATTTAAGGTTTAGTGTATTCTCTTGTGTGATTTATATTTAAAGACAATGCTGAAAAGTGCTAATCATTGATAGAACAGAATGTTAATATACATCACTTAAAAAAAGGCTACACTCAAATAAGAAAAGCTTAGATTAATATTTATTTAATAATGTTAAGTGCAATATATATCTATGTACCTGTCGATCTAAATAAACTTTATTGCCATGGTTTGAATTATAAAACTTGTGATTATTACTTACAATTTAGATAAATCAACATAATTACGTGTAAAAGAAAACTGCAAAACAAATGCTACTCTCATATTTTTGTTTCAAGTAAATTTCAGCTAAAATTCATCTTCTCAATGCACAAGTAACTTAATATTACTAAAATATTGGTATTTCCTAGCATTGTCTATTATAAATATTTGTTAAAAGTATTTCAGATCCAAGTCGGAAGTTTTTTAAGACCATCTGTCTTGAACTGTAATAGGGTCAACTGGAAAAATACTGTGGCAAATTAACAAATTATTGACCTATTCAAAACAGTAAAAATTGTGGCCAACATATTTCAGAAATGTTATTTGTAAGTTTCTTATGAAATATTAGATAATTTTTTTTTTTTATTAACAGTGACTAACTGAGATCATAAAGGTAGAAATTACAATGACAAATGAGTGTTAAGCCTGACATAAAGTACAGCTTAATTCTACGATTTGTAGCTATTTCATGTAAGATATATTTTTACATCGTCAGAAAAAGCAAAACCAAAAGAACGGTAATCTATTCAAATAATTTAATCAGTGACATTTATTTTTTATTGGCAGACTCTGGGATCAGGAAAACTTGAAGAAGAACCACTTACAGCTGATGTGGAGGATGACTATGATGCTGTGAATGATGAAACTTTTGGTGATGGGGCCTTAGGTAGTGTTAACTCATTTTAATGAACTAACATAAAGAGTTCCTTAGCATCATTACTGTGACTTGTTTTGGCCAATATCAATTACCTAGTCATGATTTGACTGTAAATTCTTGTGAAAAAACGTGTTTGTATATTAGTATATGCATTTATAAATATGCAAAAAATAAAAATAATAGCATAATACAAAGTATTAAATTCTGGTTAAAAAGTTAGCACACAGGATCACCTACAAAAGTTCTAATGTTTTCAAATGGGACCCAAAACTCGAGCGCTTTTGAATAGTTGACTATTCTTCTTCAGGAGAATAAAGGGTTATGTTTAATGAGTGTGATGAAATATATGGGTACGGATGTCGACATCACGTAAACCAGATGTTTAACATGAGTTGGCCTTGAGAACTAGCCAATCATAACCTAGAGTTGTTTGTGTCGGGTTTAGTTTGTGCCAAAGAGGTGTGTAAAGTACATAATTGACTAAAGTGGGATAAGTGTTTGGGAGGCATTCTGGGCTTTAGATTGGTTATACACATGTTATTATATGAAGTAGGTGTACGTAAGCAATTATTGTCAAAAAATGGAAGAGGTGAGCAGAGCCACCTTGGTTGATTCAATAAATATATTAATATCTCAAGAAATTTAAAAGATGGGAGGTTCTTATCTTATATTCTAGCTTGCCAATACTGATAATTTGTGTATCTTATCCATAGAAAAACTAACTTTGTATTTGGATATCACAAATATTTAATTTGAACCAATGCTGCATTCAACATACCATGTGACACACAAAAAAAATCAATATTTAGGTTTTTCTAATATTTACTTTTAAATTAAGGAATTAACTAATGTATAATACTAAAATTTGAATTATGATCTACAATTTGATACCAAACTCATTGACATACATTAATAAAATATTAGTTCAACATAGTTTGACCCATGATCGTAGGAAGACCTGTGTTGGTAGGGTAAAATGAGCTTTTTTAATTTTATTGTATTTTTTTACTAAATATGTTAGTGTTTTCTGAAGTTATACTGTGGTTCTTTGAGATACAATGTTCAAAAACATGGGAGGGTGATATTTTGTTTCATTGAATCTGGTTTCCATTTTTCAGCTTGTTTTATGTATATAAAAATTATGGCAGTTGTTGCACTGTTCTTTATATATGATGTTAGTATTATGCTTGTCAGAGTAGCTTTTACATAGTATAGATTTGTATTTTGGACCTGGTTTTTGAATGAATGTGGTGTTTACTGGAATGTTATGTTTGGTTATGAGTTTTTCAAAATTTTAGTTATTTTGTTGCTGATATCTGGAATGTACGATATGTAGCAATATAGTATTCTGTTGTTAGTTGCTTCATTGATCTTAGGATTGTGAGTTGGTTTCCATTTTGTTGTTGGGTGTGGTTTCTGTGAATAATTCTTTTGATGGTTTTTTGTCGGAAATTTGTTCCTGTTGATAAAGTTTATAAACACAGCCACAAAACTTTGCTCACCTGACAACCTTAATGAAGTCAATTAATTAAAACAAGATATATGGAAATATGGAATGTTTCATTGACAGTAACTAATATTTCACTTGTAAGGGTTTCCAAGAATGATTTAGGATTCTTTGTAGAAAAATTTGAACTTGAGCCAGTGAATAACTTAATATATCAGGTGTACCCATTACTCTATAAATTAATGAATGCATGATATTTACCTAATAATGTAAAATTTAATGCAATGAATATCTGAGTGATATATATTAGGAAACTTTAGTGTTGCCCCCCAATGGCACAGTGGTATGTCTGCGGACTTATAACACTAGAATCCCGGTTTCGATACCCGTGGTGGGCAGAGCACAGATAGCCCTTGTGTAGCTTTGTGCATAATTAAAAAACAAACAAACTTTACTGTTTGTTAATCAACAACCAAGGTGCTAGGGACAGGAAAGAATAAAGACTGAAGGTAAAGATGAGCATGCACAGTTTGACAGAATTGGATTTATAGTTTTGTTATTGTTCTGAAACTATGGGTTTTCAGACAATGGTATGTTCTTGAGATCAAGGTGTTAGTTATTATTGAAAGTCTAAGAAAAGTGTCATGTTTTGATGATTAAGACTACTGTAGGTTCTTGTTAAAGCTAGCATTTTCATGGGATTGATTATTTTGCCTTTTTTTCAGAATGTTTTTTTCTCAACTTGTAGAATTTCATAACAGAAGCCACAAGCTGGTCCTTACATCTTGGAGACCTATGTTCAGTTTTTGCATTTTCAACATACCCTATTTCATTTGATTTATTGCAGCCCTAGATATCTGAAGGAGTCTAGGATATAGTAACATTTCACCATAAATTAAAATTTCTGTCAAATCTTCCAAATTTACCATATTACTGCAGTAACACTACTGTACTTCTCCAGAGTAAATTGTGTATTCAGATAAGTGACCAAAATGATGAGTTACCTACTATCCCTGGTGTTACTGATATCTAATTTTGAGAGTGAACTACAGCCTTAAAACCAGAGAAGTAGAAATGATATTTTGTTCTTAGGTTATGTGAGTTAAGACACCCTCAGTAGCTTTAACAAAGAATTTCCTTATTAAATTCACAATGATGACTTAAAGATGTGATGAAAGCTGTAAATAACAGTAGATATCTGATTCTTAATGTTGCCACTCTCAGCTAAGAAAAGTGAGAATAATCTTCTTTGCAAGAGAAAGCCAAACATATTTAAAACTGTTAACATCTGACAAAAAAAGAATAAGTATTTTCAGTTTTTTTTTTCCCGATGTTATCCTTGTGCATTAAATGTGCACTAATAAGAACAGTGTATTCAGAACAAATGGTCAAATCCTGTAGATAAGATTACTTTTCAAATATTGCAGGCTAAAGCATCAAGTTATGTAAAATTTGAGGAATGTTTTACATAAAAAAAATATAATTGACCTTATACAGGTAACTATGGTTGAATCTGGTATGAATAAATAAACTATTATATCATAAGTATCATTTTTTATCATAAGTCCACACAGTTTGGTTCAGTTGCATCAGAACCCAATTGACAAGATGAATTATTTCTTCTCTACTCTTTCATCACAATAGAATCAGTGATAAATTCACTTTTACCTCGTGTGTTACCACAGTTGAATAAAGAGCTTTAAGTAATTCTCCTTTATGTTGAAAGTCCACACAAGCTAGTTCAGTTATTTTAGAACTCCCTTTGAGAAGACAAACTATTCTCTTTATCTCTGTTAAACTGTGAAACTCTCTTCAGGTATCGTGCATTACAGCTAAACTAACAGTTATGCAGTCTAACTTCACTTTCACTAACTTGACGTTTTCTGGCTTACTTAACTTCTGTAGAAATTGCTTGTCATGGCTAAGCTGTCAATAACTCAGTCTAGAACTTTCTAATTCTCTCTCACTTAACTTGCTTTTTGGCTTTCTACATTGTTGGACGCCTGTTTATAAAAATGTCGACTGAGGCCTAGAACTTTCTAGCCGTCTAGTGACGACCGTATTACATACAACAAGAATAATTTAGAAGCTTCAAGTAAGATGATTTCAACAATAAGCCTAGTACAACAGTTAAACTGCATCCACAATGTACAACTCGTACCATGTTATGTAACAAAACTTGCCACAACTATTGCTATTAAAATAACTTTTAACACTTATGTTAGGAAAACCAAATCTTTAAATATTAGATTGCTAAATGAACTAAATAATAATTCTTACACTAAACAGTCTTTTACATCCAACAATAAGCTGCTCTTCAAGAAAAATATTTACAATATTTTTTTGATACTATATTCAAAGACTCTTCATACACTAAGTTTCCTCAGATCGTCTGCACCAACATTTAGAGTTCTATTGTTGGTCTCATTGCATAGGGCATCTGGTAGGACTTCATCTTGATAGGATACCTTGCCTTTGTCTTAATCTTGTTTTGTATGAGGTATGTCTTGCCTGATCTATCTTTATACTGGCATAGTAGATTTTTTACATCTTTCTTCTGCTTGCCAATCAGTTCTTCACTTATGTTGACTACCTTGTATGTTTTCTCACCACCCAGTGGCCTTGTGTCTAATAGATCATCATCATTTATGACAAAGTCACTGTCTTCTGGTTCTGCATCTATGACAGTCACAACTACCATGTACATCTGTACTTCAATAGCTGCAGTCATAAGGTCTTCTTCCCTCTCAAAGTACCTTTTCAACAAATTGGCATGGTCGGCCTTGGTTGTCTCATCCACTTTCACCTTATAGTACATTCTGTTGAGCACTTCCTGTACTTTAAAAGATCCTTTCTACTGCATGTTGAGTTTGTTGTTGGCTGTCCGACCTTGAAACATCGACCCTTGGTCTTCTTGACAAAAAAAATGCTTTTGATGTGTTAGGCTTCTCTAGTAGAACTGCTTTGATTGACCCCATTCAGTACTCCTTTCCAGTCCTCTATTTTATTAGTCTCTTTTCCTCTTTATCTTGTGCTCTACTTTCTCTCTGGCACTGTTCCAAAGTTTCTGTAGTGCCAAGTCTCTCTTCTGTTTTTTCTTCAGTTCCTGTAGACTTGCATTCAAGATGTCACTTTTTAATACTTGCAAGGGCTTGATGACCTGCTTGCTTTTCTTCCTTTGAGATCCCTCATCAGTCTACTTTCTGTCTAGTTCCTCTGTGTGGTATATTTCTAATCACCAAGTCAGAGATGGGTGCCTTCATACACATGGCCTCAAGGTCTCTCACATAGTATGAAGTATCCACCTTTATTTTTGTTATGGGAAGCTTTCTTGCTGTCCTATCAGCTAGCACGCACAGGCATATATTTCCTGTTATTTAGTCATCAGATACTAGACTAGTTCTCACTGGTGTGCTACTGCACCCAGTGCCTCGTAGGACCTTCACTTTCTTGTCCTTGACATCGCCTTCGCCTGTTGTAATTTGTTGGCACCTCTTGGTATTTGTAACATGGTCCAATCACTACTGATCCATTTGCTAACTTCAGCCGACCATTAGTCGTA